GGTAAGGGTGTGCAGTGGAGTTAAATTTGTATCTTTGTTTATTTTAGGATGCTGCAGTTGGCAGCTGTTACTTGCAATATATTTTTCAGTTGGCTAATTATGATCCAGAAATAAATTCAAAGCTGAAATACTATAATAAAGCAAATAATTCTGACTGATCATCATACTGTAAACCCAGTGAAATATAAACCCCATAATGGGAACATCCAATCCCATGCATCCAGATATTAAAGACTGTTGATGACTGTAGCGAAAGTGTCAAAAAGAGGTCAGTTTAAATTTAATGTTGGCAGAAATTATTGTCTGTAAAAGCATGAATAATCTTCTAATGATGCTTTAAAGCTTTAGCTCTGTCTTAACACTTACTGTTTATTTAGTCCTGAGAAAATACTTTAAAGCCACGAAGCAATTTTAAGAAAATATTCGTAAACAGCTATTTTCTCTTGACAGACTATTTGGCTACAATTACAGATATTATGCCAAGATAATATATGTGATTCAATGAATCCAGACAATATTGAATCAAATCAACCAGTATTATTTTCCTTCCCTTTGAAACTGAACATTCAAGCCATCTGAACTTTCAGTGTCATTTGGCACTTGAGAAAAAAACTTTATAAAATACAGTCAGGCCTGAAAACCTATACTTCATTTTTGAGTAACCTCCTGACCTTTTATAGAAGGATCTCACAAACTGGATCTTCAAGAGCCTTATGTAAACCACAAATGTTTTCAATTAACATTGCTAAAGTCTTATTTAAATTCCTGCAATTTCAGTCCTTTTCGAAGTCACACATTTTGTAAAAGGAGATAAGTTACCTTAACCCAAGCTCTGCCAAAAATTACTCCATATATAACATCTATTCAAAATGTTGGGCTTAAAAGAAAGGATTACACATGATTTTAGGAGATGGTTAAAGAGAGGTATATGATGATGAGTCAAAAAAAGTGGTCAATCCTCATTTTGGTGCCTAGAGTTCTCTTTCTGTTGCTCATTTACATGTTCTGACTCTGTCTCTCAAAAAATGCTTGCCTTTTTTCCCCAAAGAAATAAGCATTAATCAGGATTCCAAGCTGAAGGCAAGACAACTGACATACTTGATCAAGTGAAGAGAATTAGAAACAAGCAAATCACCTGTTTTATTTCTCTTAGCTTTCCATCCATAGTCACCCAATCAGACTGAGTATCTTATTAATTATACCCCTAATTATTAATTATACATCTAAAGTATGTTCATAGTCTGGGTTTGCTCTTGGGGGATTCCATGATTTCTATGAATGAGAAAACAGTAATACGATCATTCGCAGGTAAAATAATATTTTCACTGTTTTGGCACCTGAGCGTAATGAAAACAAAAAATGGTCAGCTTTTACCTGGGTTTCTGCTTAGAAGAGCCAGCTCAGGGGGGAAGAGCTACTACTCATGAAGAGCCAGAATGGAGAAAGAAAGGTACAGCTCAAAACCCAAGGAGATGTATGATCTAAACAATTTTTATTGCTGTTTTGGTAGAGGTTAAATAGATCTTTTTTTTTCAGCTACCATAATCTCAGCAGTGACTTAGAAACCATCACTGCAGCATTTCTGGGCAAAAGAGATCAAAGAGTTGAAATAATGACCATATAAGAGCAAGAAGGCTGCCAGAGGAATTTAAGTGTCGGTCATCAATAACAAAAATCCATTCACATGGTTCAGAAATTTTTGCCACCTATGGAAAGCAAAGGTAACTGCTCAGATTATACTGTCAGGATGCAGACAGTGCTTCCTCTAGTAAGAAACTCCTTTGCAGAAATACTGGCAACATTTTACTGCAGGTTATTTTTGCCTGATTCTTCATTTCCTATTCAGAAGGGTCCCTAATTGTTATTTTTATACAGTAACAGGTAATTCTTTCATACTACAGCTTGTGATGCATGTTAATCAGGGTCCTTGCCAAATTAGATTCGTTTCTTCAACATTTGAAAAGCAGTTAAACTTCTAATGACATTTCTCCCCGTTTCATCAACTTATCCTTGGAGCAAAATAATGTGCTCAGGCCTGAAGAAAAGACACTTGAGCCTCAGGAATGGAAAACAGCCACAGGCCAAAATGTATTCACTGGAGAGCTCTAGGGCAATAAGGTTGTCATCTATGCACAAAAATACTTTCAAAGACGTAAACATGATGTTAAAATCTCTACCACTCCCTCCTGCATGTTAAAGACACACACACTGCTTTATGCTTGCAGTTATGAACAGTAAAAAAGGAAATAAGTCTATTTTTATGATTATTACTATGATTGTAGCACTAAGAGTTCAGAAACAGGGACTCAGGTTTACACTGTATCCTTGACAACCATGGTTTTATTTATTACTGCTAGTATCAGAAATCAGAATTGTAAAAAAAGGCATTCTAATAGTTTAAATAATAACTCAAACCAGAGCTGCACAATAACACTAGGTACCAACTGGGCCATCAGCATCTGAATATCAATCTGAACATCTATATTGTACAGACAAAAAGATAAAGATATTTAAAGTCCATCAACTACAGTTAGGTTGTACACAAAAATAAAATTTTTCAACACAAATGGTCCACATTTGGCACACTTGCAAACAATTGAAAACCAATTATTAAATTATTAAGTGATAACAAAGTACTTTAAAATACTACTTGAACTACCTTTTCACAAATAATTTACTACGTAATACCATCCAGTTGTAATAGATGTAGTTTATAATGCCTATCAAGATATAAAATACCTAGTAAATTCAATGCTAAAGGAAGATTAATATTTCACACACTATTTGCCTGCCTTAAATAAAAAGAGGATTTAAAACCACTTGAAAGGCTGGACAAAAAAATGATCTGGGAATGTTTTTGTTTTTTCTCCGGCTTTCTACTGCATAAAATCAGTTAATCAGCCTCAACTATTTTCCTTTTTATAATCAAATAGCCTAATTTGCAAAGATCTCTCATAAAGGAATGGAAGAGAAAAGCATTTTTATAAAATTAGAAAATTACTGTATAACCACAAAGCTTGTTTCTGCAGCAAATGCAGAATCTTTCTTTTTAACTTGTTAATATTTTGAGCGGAAAACATTTCTTTAACTGAAAATTTATTCCAGGCATGAAATATTTGTAGGCACTATGCTAACTTATTGATGTGAAAATTTAAAACAAGCTTTTGAAATTGTGTATGTGGCAAATTTTTTTACTACAACAAATTGAGTAATAAACATTCAAGACAGATGAAAATCTAAGATGTCCATCTCTGAATGTCCAGTACAAATAGGGTCAAACAGACACACGGTGCAGCTTGGATTGTCCACCTTGACAAAATACTAAAGCAAACACAAAATTACAGCAATTTTAGGATATCTGTTTAGTAGGAAGCAGGTAAAATGCAAGCCAGATCTGCTTCTAAAATCCAAACAAGGATTCCAGCAAGCAAAAAAACCTACCAGCAGGTCCTTATTCTTTTTAATAATCTCAAACTTCTTCCATTGGCAGTCAAAATAACCAGCATGTGTTAAAGATCTAGAATCGCTTTCCCCTGAAGAACTAGCCTATAAAAAAGTCACTTCATATCTACTGCACATGTTTATTTTCCTCAACCATATATCCTGCAAATATTTCCTCATCTGAACTTGAACCACTGCCACATCAGTACCATTTAAAGGCTACATCCTTATGGCTTCAAACCTCATCAAAATGCTTATTCCCAAAACAACTCACAGACATCTCAATCTAACGACCAATCACATCTTTATACTCAGTTATCCTGATAACAGGAACTCAACTCCTAGATTAAGAGAGGATGGAAGACCACTTCTAGGTTGTGGTGGTTTTAATCTAGGCCTTCCCTGGTTACCAGTAACCAAGGAAGGGGCAGTGTTCCCAGTATTCCATACAATTTTTATGTAAATCATGGTATAAGTAAGAGGGGAGAAGCGGCCTTCGTTCTTCTTCTCTTCCGCCAGAGTTGGGGAACAGTGGGTCCCTGCATTGGTCTCGCTTATCTAAGGCTGAGGCCTGCAGCATCCACTGACCTGCCATGTGGAAGCTTGGAGAGTGCTGGCAGTGTCTGCCAATCCTGCTTTCTAAGGGACGTGGTGAGATTTGTTTTACTAGTTATTTTACTAGTTCTCGGGTTTGATTGCGCATATCTATTTGGTGTCCCTTTTTGTTTCCTTTTGTCCCTTTTTCCCTTTTCCCTATCCCTTCGGGGGGTGTTTGGATTCCCTTTTGCTGTGTACATAGCATCTTAACTGTAATATACATAAAATATATTTTTTTTATATAACTAGCTTGGTTTTCGGGTTCTTCAATTTGCATAGTTTTTTTTCCTTTGCCCTGGGGGAAGTAGAAAGGGGGGAAGAGAGGGGCTGCTACTGGGGGGTTGGGCATTTGGCAGGGAGCCAAGTCCGAACTATCACATAGGTAAAAAGCAAGTATCACATGCTCTCTCACCCACCACCCTGCCAAGCAGTACAACTTTTATTTTACAGAACTTCTCCAAGTCACCATCACCCAAAAAAGCAGACAGCACTGGGCAGCCGACTTGCTACTTTTACATGCTGCTTGTCCTTTAATATAACAACTTGTTTTCTCAGCTCTAGGACTTAAAATCAGAAGCTTTTTCAGAGAGGGCAGTGACATAATTGCCTGTGTGTTCAGCATCAACCATCTACTTGGGGTTGAGGATAATACAGACAACAGGGCTAAACTTCCTTAGGATCTCTTCCACTAGTTTTCTGAGGTAATACCACTAAACAATCTACAATATTAAGAAAAAAAAAAAGTTGTTTTCTTTCACTGCATACTCCTGACGATATTACTGTCTGTTATCAACTCTCTCAAATCTCTCCATGTTACAATCATTTTAAGTAGGGTTGCAAACAAGGCCTTTCTTTGTGATCAGTCCTCCTGGAATTACTTCAAGCAGTTTTGTGAATGTCACCTTCAACAGCTTGGGTGAGATTTGTTTTCTTAAACAAAGAAAAGAAGAGAGCAGGGTTACCTTCCCTTAGACGCTCAACCACGAAAGTGAATCCAGTTGTTCGCGGGTGTAAGACATACTCGTATTTTCGAAGTCCGTTCTTTTCAGCGAATTCATTACTGCGGGCTTTGGTATTGGCTGAGGAGAGAATAAAAAGCACCATTTTCTGTTAGTATGAATGTATAACCATAAAATAAATACAGTGATCATACGACAGGAATGGTACAACAGCAGTTCACGCGGTACAAATGTACAACAGCTTTTCAGGTGGAGGCAGACAGCAAGTGTGCTTTCAGTTGGCCATACCATAGTATGAAGAAGAGCCACGTGGATTGCAAGAAAAGCCTTTTTACTCGTTCACTTATCTTACAAAATCATCAGCAAACCTCGTATCTACCAAATGCAACCTGAAACCTATAAATTAAAGTCTGTTAATAGTTCTCTGTACACTTCAATAGTCATTTTACAGTAAAATGTGTCAACTGGTTCAATTGCATTTCAGGGTTTTTTTTAACTCAAAAGGCTCAGTGTATAGTAATGTAGGTTTAATACTATGTACAGAAATACCTTGAGGTCAGTGTTTAACCATGTCAAACTTATTTCAGAAGAAAACATTAAATGGACAAAAGCAGTTAATCCAATATATTAAAATTGTATTTTACATCTTCATTCTGAACTTGACATGTTTTATTCATCAACCTGCTCTGCGCATACATACCCTGTTTTAATTTTTTGATCAAGTGACTCAGTGTCACAACACATGCCTGCTACTGTAGGTAGAGTACAAACAAGGCACCTGAAAAGAAGGGTGGCTAAACCCTGTGACAAACGTGCTTCAAACCTCTGGTAAGAAGGAACCTCCTGCGAGAAGTCAAACAAAGGCTTTCCAGAGCTGGTTGCTAAAAGAGCCCACTAAACAAGGAAGATGGGAAAACCAAAGCAAAAACTTCTGAAGACAGGCAGAGAGGAAGCAATTTTTTCCCTGTGGTGTGCAGAAGGCTCTTCCAACCAGCCTCAGTCAGGAGGTAAATGGACTTTGCTGGCTACACTTGGTCCTTTACTGTGGGTACTGCTGTGCCTCCCCTGGAGCCAATGGGCAATGGACACGTGCAGTGTTCCCTTGGCAACATGGTAAAAATCAATTTGATCAACTAGCTTACTTAGTAACTCATTTATGAAGTTTTGCAGACGAAATCCCACCAACAGATCTATGGAACAAAATAACTGTTTAAGGAATATATCAGGTTTTTCAAGCAGAAAAAGGTCTTTTTTAAGTGTTCCTAGTTAACCTTAACAGAGATGACAGATAAAGTAATGAAAACCATGTTGTTGTTTAATAATTTAACAGAAGTGATAAAGATAAATCCTTCCCCTTACAATCATCGCAATTTTTTCCTGTAAAGGCACAGTAGCATAAAGTGAACAAATCAACAGGAGTGGGAAATTTCCTTTCTGCTGTAATGCAACATTCCTGCATCTTTTTTCCCCCTAAATTATATGAGCTCTCTTTATGTCTATCTTTTGTGCCCCCCCCAAAAGATTATCTATCAATTAATAAATGCTATTAGTGTACAGAGTAATTTTTCCCTGTGACCTACTGTTTCCAAGCATTAGGGTGCTGCTTTTCATACATGCAAGCCTTAAGATTTAGTGCACAGATTTCCTGACCATGTGATTTCGAGGAAAGCTGTTGCACAGTAGCCAAGCAAGTGATTCAGCAAAGAGAATCCAAATATTTAATTCTTGCCAAATTGCCCAAACGTACAAATACTTGAAAAACATTACAACTTCAAAAAGCATTGCTAAAATTACAGAATGCGTGAAACACTAAAATTACACTTGGCTATGTAACTTATCTTCCCTTGGACATATACATTATGCCTTTCACCACATGGTCAGAGGATCTATTTTTGTCTCCTCGACTACTACTCATTTCAATATTGCAAATGGACTATTCTGAATCAGTGGAGTTGCCTTTCACACTCCCATTGTAATGGCAAAACTTGTAAAGTGAGCAATGAGAAAGACTTGGAATGGCAGAAGAGGCAACAGTAATCTGGTAATTATTAAATGCTCTTCAAAAAAAAGTCAGGTTTTAACTCTTAGGTGTACTTGTATTAGCTCAACAACTACAACTCTTTATTTTCTAAGAAATTACACTGATGACCAAGACTATTGCTATAAAAAAAATATCCAAATCAAGAGTTCCAGATTCTGTAGTGATTCAAGTACAATGTTTTAAATTATTTTATCACAAAGTTCTTAGGCTAATGTACTGTTGTTTCCAAAGGACAGAAGTATAATCTTCTTCATTTTCTGCATATCCAAATTGGGGCTTCACTAGGGAAAACTTACTGTTTGTCTGCAAATCAAGTCAATCAGAGCTTTGAGACACAAGTGCCATATAAATCTACATAAAGTCAAGCACTTAAAAAAAATATAAAATCTAATTCTTAAGCATCTCAAACTGCACACGGTTAATGAGCACTCAGAAAAAATACCTCCTTCTGTCTGCTCACTAGCACTTGGCTTCAGAGGGAGCATGAAAATTAATTCCTTGGTGTTTGTAAATCACTCCTACTTGCACCACAGGAAAGCCAAAGAGCAAATGGGCACATTCGTTCTCTGAGTAAGACCTAACTGATACTGCAAAAAAAGATTTGGGACCTCCAGTGCCCATTGCCTTGAAATAATCATCTTCAAACTCCTCTTAGTGCACCTCCCTGTACTTGGAAAGAACTCACTGTAAACATCTGCAAAACATCTTCCAAATTTCCCCTTACTACGCTGCCATTCTAAAAACGTGTGAACAGCTGGACATCAGCACACTGGCCAACACTATTCAGCTATTTCCTGACATTTGTATCCCTGTCTTGCCTCTGGACTGTAAGTTTTATATAACAGAGACTGTTCCCTTCCCTTTTCACATTACCCTAGCGTAAAGGGATTTTAGAACTAGAGTAACACTCCCAGCTATCACAACAATCATTGTCATCTGGAAAAATCATCTCCCTCTTCCCTTCCTAACAACTACCAAGTCACAGGTCTTTGTGCATTAAACATGATTATTTATTACAGCAAGTCAGGAAGGTCAATGGGTTTTGATGCCATACTGAAAGCAAGGGTAGGATATGCCTTCGCTCCACAAAAAAAACTAAGAATAATGTTCTTCCTCCCTCTCTTGTTAGTCTCAACATCTGAAAAAACCCAGTTTCTTACGCTACTATTACTTATGAACAAATGCTCTGACTGCCATCATGTCAGCCGATGTAAGCACCTCTGTGCCCACTGCTGTTTGAAATCCTTGTGAGCGATACCAGTGCCCAAAGCCCTGGGGGAAACTGAGAGCAAGTCAGCTGCTCAGAATTAGATTCAACAAAAGGCACAGAACATGCGATGCTCCTCATTATATGAAACCCAGAGGTTAGAAAGCTGATCCAGGAAATTAGAAACCCATTTTTACATCCTCTGCAACTTGAGGGAATTCACACGACAAACACCTCTTTAAATTCCCTTAATCAATGGACCAGGCTACACTGCCAGTGCAGCCAAACTTCATGCAGATCCCTCGTTGTTCTGCTGGTCAGATTATAACATTCATAGATGAAAGAATAAAAAAAATGTGCCTAAAAATTTCCTTAAAAAGAAGAAACACGTTCCCTTCTATCTTCCCAACCTACTAATACAAATAGCCATCAAGAAGCTCTTGAGACAGGGCCTGGAAATTCACTTGGTTTGGGTTTCCTCAATCCCAAAAGATCACTCACATCATTTGGCTACACGTAATGTCCCCCATTGCTTACTCTCTCTGAAAAATATAAGTGTTGCTTTCTAGAAACAAGTATTTTCTTTCTTACACTGTAGTTAAATCAAAGCAAACACACTCCCAGAATTTTTGTTCCTCATTTCTATTAGGAGTATTCTGCATTTTAACTCCTTGGTTCTATTTGCTGATAAAAAAGAGTAAGGAGAATAAGTTATTTTTATGGAAAGTAGCCAATTTATTGATAGGGGGTGATGTGGGACACTTACAAAACTGCTTCATGCTCTGTCTACTCAGGTCTTGCACTGACTTGTCTCTCCTCCCCCATCTCCTTCAGCTAATACATTCAGTCCCTCAGAGCATACATTCACTGGGGTGGTGACAAGTACAGGTAGTCCAATTTATTTATAGAGTATTTAGACATTCCTGCAGATTGACTGTCAAATAACACAAAAGTACAAGATTTTAAGGTTTCTGGTCAAAACGTCTCACTTTTTTTTGGCTCCTGTGTTGCCTTTGGTAAATAATTTGATTACTTTTTTTTTTCCTCATTTATCTCCAAATCATGGGGGCAAATCCCATTTATTGCATTTTTAAATTACTGAAAAAGCTCAGAAAGCCAGCATTTTCTAGAAGCACCACACTTCAGAATTTCATTTAAAGTAACTGGAGGAAGAAATGATGCGAGCACATTTTCTTGATTTTTGAGTTATAGATTTTAAGAAGTTAAATTGATTTTGCTCCTGAAAACCAGTGGAAAAAGTGAATAAATTTAATTTTTTTCAAGTCAAATTAGATTTTTAGTTTGTGAGCTAATTTTGAATTAAAAATCTCTAGGATTTTACTTTGATGAAAGCCATAATGCAGTAACAGCTGCATTCATCTGAGTCTAAAGCATGTTTGGAACTAAAACTGCAAGATCTATACCCAGTGAAAAGCTAAGTCCCTGCTCCCTGTGAAATATGTATGCCGTATTAGCTCCTCTCAAACAAACAGGCTCATGTACTTTTACAGAGTCAACACCATCCAGGCTGATGTATTTTGCTGGGTGTTACCCAAAAGAATTGTAAACTTCCCTCATCATCCTACTGGAAAGCTGATCTGGACAACCTTATTACAAGTACTTGTGAATGACTCTCAACTACTACTTTTTTCTTTTCTGCTAGTACCAGTGCACTGAAATTTGACTATTAACTACTGCCTTTTCCTTTAATTTCACTTATGAGAAAAGAAAAATTATAAAATTATGCATGTACATGATAAAAGCATGCATGTACTTTTATGACTTCAAGTACCCTCAAATTATATTACTGCCAGACAGTGAAAGAACAAATGAGCACTCTCAAGGTTTATCTTATTGAATAAATAAACAAACCCCTCATTTATCTATTAGAGGTTTGCATAGAAGTGATAAAACTACACTGGCTCACAATTTTAAGAAAAAATTAGGTAATTGTTCTTACTTGTGTTATTTTCAGACTATTACATGTTAGATCAACCCCTACCAGTGCTTTTGAACAGTATTTTTTGCACTACAAATTTACTAGAAAAGTTAAAAATCCAACTACAGCTATTGTTACCTTGTGTCATCCACATGACAACATTCCTGCCAAAATCTGAGCTCTAGTTAGTTTTCCTCCACGGTTTTCAGCTGTTCCTCAAGGAAAAAAGGTCTGTGCAATCACACTTTGTCCACCTGTTTGTTCCCCTAAATTTTTGAAGCTGTTGCCACCTGCAAACAAAGTTTATCAGGGACAAGAGATTCAAAGACAATTAAGCCCAGCAGAAGTTTTAGGAGAAGGGGAATCTTCTGAGAGCAGAGATCCTAATAATGGGAAAAGCCAGGGAAGGCTCCATGGGTATTCAATCTGTCAGGGCTTTCAGCACAGCATGCAGCAGTCCATCAGGTAACACAAGTACAGCACACGATGCCTCTTGCCAAGACAGTGGAAAGAGCTTTGTGGGGAAGTGTCACACAGAAGGAAACAGATGGAAAAAGGAGAAGCTGGAGTGAAAAAGAGACCATGTACAGGGATGCAGACACAAATCCATAGGAAATGAGGCTTTACCAGGCATAGAGCAATACAGTACTTTTTTTTATTCTGTCATTGCTTTTTGAAGAATTATTCCAAACAAGTCTTATAAGGAACACCAAGGAAAACAAAAGAATAGGCAATATGGTGAGTTGTATTCCAGCCTTCCAGAAGCAGGAGACTTATGGTTGCTTTGTTTTCTTTAGGGCTTCAGAAAGTCTGGCTATATGTTTATCTGCTGAGGGCTTCTTTTGAAGCAATTACAATAAAATACCTTTGATGCACTTAGCTTTAACCTTCAAGTACTCCAGAGTGAAAAGATGGCCAACCTATCAGAAATAAGTATATAATTATATAATTATTACCTCAGACCCTATACATCCAGTCTGCAAATACAACGTTCAGGGTTCATGACTTCACTATTTCTAAAATTTATTCATGCAGCATCTTCCACCGCAAAGTACTTTACCAACATGGAGTCAGGCTTTGGCCCATGCACAAATACAGTCATACTTTACATTTCTTTGAAATCTTTCATTCTTGAATACCTGAAAATATTATCCCAATTCTTATAAAGAAGAGTAAATCAATCATTGCCATGTAGTCACTGAGAGGATAAAAAAATGACAGCAGCACAGAGCTGCACAGCAATTCTGCTACTCAGTGAAGTGCACGTAGAATGTTATTTTTCATTTTAAGCACCAGAAGAATTCTGTTCTCAGAAGTAAGTAGCAGTTTTGGAATTTCGTCAGAAAACAAAAGTCATTGCCTCTATTTTTGCAAAACGTTCCCTAGAATTTTGAGCAACTTATGTTCAGAACAAAACCCAGTTTATTTCTTATTCCCACAGATGGAACCCAAGGTTGAAATAGGTCCTAACAGGTCAATAACATAAGTTTTCTGCAAATCACTTTTTCAAAATGTTACATCAATTAGATTATGTTCTAGCATTCTCATATGGTATAAATTTATTGCTTGGTCAGGATTAGCTTGTCAAGGGATTTTTCCCTTTCTCTTATAATATTTTTAAATATATGAGGTAATGTTTCCTGTGAAGACAATTAGATAGGGAGAGCTATTTACTTCCACAGAAAAAATTCCAGTATTTTGCTCGTCTCTAGACATCTTTTTATGCACAAATATAATATCAAGGTGGCGTTCATCACTTGATGGCAAGTTAAGACTGGTAAACACAGGACAGTTTAATGTGTCAGAAGCCAGCACAGCAGTACCCTGTTGTCTCCTCTATCTATCACTCCATCCTTCCACTGCACTGCTTCCTCCCTGGGCTGCCCAACCACCATCAGCACAAGTGGCAGTCTCAATCCTCAGCTAAATCTTCTTTTTTAAAGCTGCAGTATGAAACTTTCTCAGTTCTTTAAAAATCTGTTGTCTCTGAGGAATACTGGGAGAGATTAGAAGGAATTCCAATTGGATTAGAATAAGCAATCCAATTCTTTCAGTAATCTTGAGGTGGAAGCACCTATTCAGAAAGAGAGTGTGTGCACTCTCCTAAGGAGGAGTCTTCTGATTCCGTGAATAAGATAAATATTACATCTCATAATTTAGAGCAAAGAGGAGACAGTCCTTCATGAATTCTACGAAAAAAAAAAAGATAATTTTGTAGAATCACAGAATGGTCTGAGTTGGAAGGGACCTTAAAGATCATCCAGTTCCAATTCTCGTGCCATGGGCAGGGACACTTTCCACTAGACCACGTTGCTCAAAGCCCAATTCAGCCTGGCCTTGAACCCTTCCAGGCATGGGACATGCACAGCTTCTTTGGATAACCCATTCCCATGCCTCACCACTCTCCTAGTGAAGAAAATTTCATCCTTCTTTCTACCTTTAGATACAAAATAACCACCTCAACAAAAGTTATGATGTGAAGGAGTCCAAGAGGGTTCAATGACTTTACCCTCTTTCTGGAAGGCTGATCAAGTGATGACAATTCCCTATGGTGTGACAGCACCTGGATACTATACATATCAATTTTAAGGATATTTGTAATAGAGAAGAAAAAATAGCAGTATATGTTACATTTTTTATGCCGTGTCTAGTACTTACTGATGTGGCTTTGCCATAAGATATGATTTGAAAATATCTGCAATGCAAAGTATAGCAAAAATCTTCCAAATGAGCTGAAAGTTAGAAGCTTAATTGTAATTGATTTTCTATTTAAAGATAATGCTTATTGTATCATGCTGCAGGCATGAACTGCCACAGAACATTCATACAATGTTTTCTTTAAATGGCTCTTGAGTCGTCTTTACTGGTTAAGAGCTTGCTACTGATGCCATAAGATACCGGCACAGAGGTAGATACTTGATTAAAAAGTAATACTACAGGTTCAAACTCATTAAACTCATTCCTATGATAATCTTAACATTTGCTTTACAGAGATATTTCTCTTGTAGAGGCATATACAGACTGCTTATGTGACCTAAAGAACAAGAATCTCCATGTTCTCTACTTAAAACATCAGGCAAGAAATCAAACAGAATTGTCAGTCCTTTTCAATCACTCGTTCATAGACATGAAATGATTTTGCCACAGTAATACAGGAAATGGGACCATGCAAGTGATATATTCCAGGTCTTTAAACCTACTCTTGCTAATGCAGTGTATATACAGTACTGACCAATAAAAAATTATTTCAATCATCAGATGCTTTGAAATGTAAGTTACTTCAGGAAGATTGGCAAAGTCTCTCAGTGGAAATATGTTCGTGCCTCTCAAATGAATCAGCACATCATTTTATTATTTGCTATAATTTCTACTGTCCATGTGAACAAAGTCTTGCTCCTGCCTTGGACTTTTTTAAACTCTTTCCATAAACAACAAAGAATTTCCACACTGAACATTCCATAAGATGGTGACAAATGCAGCCTACCTGTGAGATCAGTTCCTTCTGGAAAGATGAGGAGTTGTAGTGGCTCACGAATGTCACAGAAGTAATCCAGCATTTTTTCAAAGTGACTCTTGTCATCTTCCCACTTTCTCTGAATGAAAACAAAGGCAGCAACCTGCATCGCCCAGCCTGAAGTTTAAAAAAATAAACTTTTAGTAACGTTTCAGTCTGATACTTCCACAGTGTCTGTTATTCCAAAATACTTTATAAATTGTGTTAGACACCACATTTTATTTGCTGCCCACCTGTCCTCACCTGAATAAGAGCACTTTGTTACCTTGTCAAAGGTGTTTTGGACAGGAAGAAAAAGAAAAAGAATGCATAAATGCATAACTCAAGTTACCAGAGTCAGAAAAGTTTTCCAGAGTGCAAGAATAGGGTTCATGCTGTCACGAAAGGAGATTGTAGTGAGGTGGGGGCCAATCCCTTCTCCCAAGAAACAAGGGACAGGACATGAGCAAATTGCATCAGAGGAGGTTTAGGTTGGATATTCAGAAAAATTTCTTCACTGAAAAGGTTGCCCATCTATCCCTAGGAACAGGCTACCCAGAGAAGTGTCTGAGTCACCATTCCTAGGGGTATTTAAAAGCCACGTAAATGTGGTGCTTAGGGACCTGCTTTAGTAGTGGGCTTGCAGTTCTGGGTTAACAGCTGGACTCAATGATGTTGAACTTTTTCAACCTAAACAATAATATGATTCTCTGAGGTGAAGCATTTAAAACCATGGCCCTCACTATAATATTCTTAATCCCTGCAACTCTGATGTGCTCAGGTGATGGGCACCACTCAAGCAATGCACTGCAGGGTAACAGCTGCGTTACGTAGAGATCCCTGCCCACTAACCATGTGCGGTGTGCAGAAAATATCTGTTACTTTAGGGGCTTTATTACATATTCCTTCCTATAATTTTCATTAATCACAGAAGAAAATACCAAGTTTTTCTTTACAGTTAATTGTAGAAAAAAATTATGTGTATCCATTTATTTGTATTAATATACAAGAAGATTTAGAACCTGACATCAAACTGACAATGTAATGCAGTTAAGTAAGTGAAACTGCTGCTGAGCCTGTAGTTCAGGGGTTATACACCATTATCTTCAATAAGTATTCTTGGGGTTTTTTTGGCACAACTATATAGTATACAGTATGAGACATAATATTAGAAGTTCTGTCCACTAGTTCAGTCAGCAGGACGAAAAATCAGGATTCCAGTCCCACCACATGCCAGCGATCTCCCTTCCTAAACAGGGCTCAGAAGATCATGACACTGCCTTACCACTGTACTTGGCTAGCTTGTATCTCATCAGAAAGCCTGCAGATAGATCCTCCACATCAAATAGAAAACATCACAGCTTCCCATTCTCCCCTTTGCTCACCACAGTTCTCAAAGTTTGTTTTTCCTTTGCTGGTGACTTACAACACATTATTCTTGCACTTTATTTCATGTTCTCTTTACAGGGATTCCTTTCTGTTCTGTTCATAGCAGTATCTCACAAGAAGCATATGCTAGAAAACCAATTATTAAAGTCACTCATTTTTAAATCAACTTCATAAGTCACTCAGCCTGGATAATGCATTAACCAAGCTGCATAATCTCTTTTTGTTGGTTAGAAACATTAATTCTACTGTTAAAGATTTGAGACCTGTATCATGCAGTAGATACTTTTGATTTTTAAATCAGCTAAACAGATGGAACATGCATAACTAGGATGCCTTCTGCAATCTGGACCTAATGCATTTCAGATATCCAGATAATCAATGATATCCAGACAACTGAATACTAGAAGTGGTTATATGAATTAAGAAAAGAAACGCCCAGAATGCAGTCTCAGCAAATCTCTTCCAATTTGCACACTATACTTGTGAAAAACTCTTTGCAAACAAAACTAAACTCTGACCACAACATTTTATGTATATTTATGCACATATCATATTCCCACATTTGCAGTGTCAAGAAGTATCAGTACAGCTTTATTAATAGAGGTTATCCATGTTTAAACAAATTATCTGAAGGAAAAACAATACAGGTAAGTTTTAAAGTAACTTTAAAATAATTTATGTAATTTAACTATGCTATCTTCTGGCATGTACTCATCTCCTAGTGCTATAATACATGGCACTAAAACACTGCAAACCCAGTATTTTAACTTGAACTAATCAGGGCTTCATACACAGAGATTAGGAAAGTTCTGCCATGGTTTTGGGGTTTTCCAATTATTCTTACCTCTCTGCCCAGACCTTTTGTATGTTTTATGTACCTAGGATACTATGCCTAAAGTAGAATATGGAAAATCTGTACTGTGCTAAACCATTCCATTGTGTGGTATCACACATCAGGCCCAAATTATTCCGTCCTTGTGCTCCCATTGCAACAGAGCCTGTAGGTCGAATTAAGGGAAACAAGAACCTGATACTTTCTCAGGTCAGAAGCTCCTTAGGAAGAGTGATTGTGGCCCACAGCAGAGGGAGCATGGAAAAAACCTCACTGCCAGATACCACCCTCTCCCCTACCTTTCTTCACACAGCACAGGGCTTTAAATTACATGGAAACTTGCACATAAACTCTAGCTCTCATTCTTCAACAGCACAGTGAACATCAAATTATAAATACCTTTAGCTACTAAAAAAGATGCTGCTTGGGTGACTTGCACTTCACCTGACTAAACTGCGTAAAGCAGAGGATATAGTGCAGTAGTTTCCCATTCCTGCTTTAAGCAGTAGTGTTATATATGGGCTATGAATAATTAAACAGAGCGAGTAATGTAATGACAGTAGGATGTCAGGGAGGAGGAAGAAAGAAACAGTAGGAAAGGAGTTGGGAGGTATCCAATTTTTAAGATAAACAACAGGTCTGATTTTCTAACCTTTCCCATAGATAACATCCAGTGTTCTGGAAGAATTTGTCTATCTTTAAGTGCATATCTAATTAGATAAAACAGTCCTCACTGTTCAAATAAGAACAGATTATCTAACAGATAGATGACTAATAGTAAATGACCCAGGTTTCCTCCTGACTTACCCCAGCACAGCACACTGCACCAAGCTACCTTACCATCTATCAAAGTGGAAGAGTCTTCCACATTTGCTCATGCTTTTAGGCCTCCAGTGAAAGGCAGCAAAAACATGAAATCCTGGTTTCTACCAAAACCCTGGTCTGTGCACCATTTGGGGAGAGTGCCTGCTGTACATGTGTCTCACCATCCCACCAGACTCAAGCAGGAAAGAAAACCCCACACAGGCTTTCAGATGTCTGCTTTTGAACAAAGCAAAAGCAGCTCTTGCTTTGATTTCCATTCCACAGTGCGTCTGCATTGTGCTGCTAGAAAAACATGTAACAGGTCCAAGGCATGACATGGGAGCCAAATGGGAATGCACAGAGAAATGGGAGGAATTCAGTAAATCAATGGGCAGGATGAAAGGTTTTGCTAATCAGCAAGATTTATAAGCAGCAGAAGGCAGTACCTTCTCATGTGCAACCTGCAGTGAGACATGCTGTTCAGTTAATTACTTTTAAGTTTAGGTCAACACATTGTTCAACAAAAGTAAATACATTTTGCTCTTTTTGCTCAGTATTTTTGGTTGTCTAAGAGCTCCTGGGCAACAGGAATCTTCCTAGGAAAGGCAGCATTTACTTAACTGCAGAAAAATGGTTGCCTTTTGATTTGCAGATTGTTGAGAAATCATTGATTACAAGAACATGGCAGAGAAAAGAGTGAGGCTAAAGAAAGCATAACAATGCAACTTCATTTCTTTGCTACAATAATCTCCTTATAACAAATGACATTTTGGATAAGTAACATTGCTTGGAAAAGTATACAAACACTGAACAGCCTTTGTTCAAAACTGCAAAACAGCAGTGCAAAAACCTACCAGACAGAATAGCAAGCCCCACTGACCTTTAAATCAACTTTTCAGAGCTGAAAAAATAAACAAGGCAGCTTAAAATCTCTAGTAACACATACACAGTAATGATATGTATTCTATCAGGACATAACTCTACACAGAAAATAAATGTGCTTACACAAAAAGGAAAGCCTGCTATTGAACTAGAGAAATGTGCTCTACGTAAGAATTTCCTTACTGCCTTGGGGATAAAGCAAATTATAGCTTATGCAGGTCAAGAATTTGCAGCATTGTATTAAAAATGCTAGCTCCAAGTATAAAGCGTTTTAAATTCCAAGACCCTGCACTTCTATTCTCCTCACGCCAAAATCCTTTAAAAGAAAATAACACTTGAAGTTGAAATTTCCTGAGTGTGTTTTCATTGCAAAGGTAATTTGGAAGTAAGTAGATACCAAGGATGGAGGTGGCAATGAACAAAAGATAGAAAAAGGGGAGTTGTGCCAAAAAAAAAAAAAAAAAAGTCTGATATTGAAAGCAAACGTACACAAACACATCAAGAAAATGGTATCTATGTATTTCCTGTAGCAATGTAAGATAACAACTAAACCCTCCCCCAAACAAATTCATTAAATGATTCAAAGCTATAGAAACAAGTAGGAAATAAAAGGCCTAACTATGAGATTTTGTTATTATATTCATTCGTTCTCTCTCTTTTCCTTCACTGCATTATTCCCTGTTTTTTCATAGCATTATCTTGGTCAAAAATAAAAGCCTTATTCAGTATGCCTGTATTTAACAGGGGTCTGGTCCTGATCAGGGCTTTTGAGGCATCAGGGAACCAGACATCTAGGCTTAATAAGGGAAATCACTCGGAAGCTCATGATCCCACTGTATACAAATAATTGGGTCCATTAACAGTTTGTTATTCCAAATGTTTTGCTGCATAAAATTACCACAAGGCAACAAGCATGCAAGTCCGAATGCTCCCAATTTCAAAGATCATAGGTATTGAAAAGATGTTGGCACACATAAAATCAGGCAGGAAGTCAGGGCGTAAAGTTACTATGTATATACATTGTTGAGCTGTCTTCAGTATAGACTGATTAGCACCTTTCTGAAAATTCAATTAGAACTGGTCATTTTCCTGGATAGTTTTATATATAAATCCCAAAGCAAACTAATTTTTTTTTTTTTTAAATTTAATGTAATCATCTGAGTGCACAAATTGGGAAAATAAAGAAAAAAAATGCTTCCTGAAACAATCTTGTGAAGTACAATCTCTGCTC